AAACAATGGTTTATAAGGTTTAAGGAGTATAACTGACCCTTAATTTGCTCCATAATGGGGGCTTAATCGCCCCATTAAGTGAAGAATTGTTTTAGAACCGTTCAAATGATTTGAAACAGTCAAATGCAAAGTCTGCGAGGATCGACCTTCACGAGGGTCGACCTCCGCGTTTAGTTGTTGAAACACGAGGGTCGATCTCCGCGTTTGGCTGATGAAATGCGAGGGTCGACCTGCACCTTTAGTTGTTAAAACACGAGAGTCGACCTCCGCATTTAGTTGTTGAAACGCGAGGATCGACCTCCATGTTTGGCTGAAGAAACACGAGGGTCGGCCTCCGCGTTTGGCTGTTAAAACGCGAGGGTCACGTTTGGCTTCGAAGATGCAAATATTGTCAATTTGTAATCGTTGAGTCACCTCTGCATCAAGTCTTCTCAGAATACAAAGGTCGTCATCTTGTAACCCTTGTACTTTGGCTTCTAAAGATGTGAGAGTCATCAAATTGTAACTCTTATCTATTGTCGTGAAAGTCGTCAGATTGTAACTTTTATCGTTAGTGTTTTTTGAGGATTAACTATCTACAATAATTTTTAGACATCCTACAGAACCACCTCTAAAGTTTTTTAAAAGTTCGTGGTTGACTAGAACGAATTTTTAGAAATACTTTGGATATCTTCTTTGTCTGATTCTGAGAAAGTATTGCTCCTCATTGCTTTGATCGTTGAGCAATTTGATATGCAAGATCCGTGTTTTATCTTCAAAGAGGCGAAGGTCACGTGAAGCCTTGCATCCGAAGGCAATTTATATGATGGAGAGCCAGAGCTTGGTACTTCTCTGTGGCAGGATAACTAGGGCGAAGTTCATACTCCCCCACAAGACGTCCAACTTGCTTACTTCTCTGGGCTTCAGCACATGGTATTGTGTCGCCTCTGCTCTTCCCGAGCATCATATAAATACTACATGTCTGAGAGAGATTCGGGCTGTCTATGCATCAAAAAAGGGGATCCAAGACGACTCGCTTAAAGGGGACCAACGAGTTCTTGGCTTATGAGCCAGAGGTAGAAGAAGAAGAAGAACGTGCTTCTCAAAAGCGAGCTCTTCATGAAGAGGTCACCAGTCATCCTCGACCTAGTTGCAAGTCTTGCCAATCAGTTGGAGTTTATGATGGAGCGAACTATCAAAATTGTTAGCTCCCGACAAGGCACTTTTGATGTTTTCAGACCCATACTGATGAGCTTTGTTGATAATATCCGACACTTGGGTGATTCTCAATGTACTAATTGCTATCTAGACGACATCTCTCGGTTGGAGCAAGACTTGGTCACTTTGGAAAATCTTGAACGTGCTGATGTTGACACACTGGTCGAACTATCTTTGTTCAACATGAAAGATATACAAGCACGTCAACAAGAGGCGGTTCAGAATGACTTCTTTGAACGAGAAGCACGTGTCGCGTCCTTGCAACAACAGTACGAGCAATGGATGTAGGAGTACATGGGTTCCACTGCTGTGGTCGAGGCTTCTCAAGACTCTGTTGCTCAAATAAAGGAGGCCATCACCAAACTGCAACATGACTTGGCTAAGAGGGAAGTTCAGCTCGCTCGAGGAAAAGTTCTTACAGAAGAAATTTCTCAAAAAAGGATAGAAGCCTTTGATGAGTATTCAGCGAAGCTAGAAGCTTTGGGGCTACTAAAAGAGGAGAATGAAGCTCAAGTGTTGCCTAGTGAGGAGGAGATAAGGAAACGGGCTATAGAGTTTGTGCACACAACCCATCAGAAAGAACTGGTAGATGTTAGGTCTCGTCTCCAATCCTTCGTGTGGAGGGATCCAGAGACTTGACCATGTATCATTCTTTTCCAAGAACAATTATTTTATATCACTTTTACAAATTTTGAATAAAAGTGATAAAATTTTGGTCTTTTCATGTCTCATTTGGTGTGATATTGAATCTAAGACAATGAAAGTGTTTTGGGTGTGCCAGAGGTGTTAACTTGGCATAAGTTTGATAAACACGTAAAATATGCATTATCTTAGTGTGTTTTAAGCATGATTTACGAGTGTTTAATGCATATTTCGTGTTTAGATCGAGGATACTGCTGTGGTTTGTGTTCTTATATATAGGAATTGGCTCAAGATTGAAAGATTTGATGATCGTTGGAAGTTTTACAAGAGTTTGAAGCAACAACAAGATTTTGAAGGCATGGTTCGTGAAGAAAATGGATGCACGAGTATGAAGAACTGGAATTTCGACCATGATGCAGTTTGAATCAAGAAAAACTCAAAATATAAAAGTTGTATATCTCTTCAACAAGATTCCAATGCAACTTGAATCACCTCATTCCGAGGTCGGACGCAAAAGTTATAGCCAAAATACCAAAACCTGAAGAAACAAGCACAAAATCAGCAAAACAGCCCCTACCACACCCTGGTGTGGTGCAGACCACACCGG